TAGCCGCCCATTAAGATTGAAAGGCCTCCATTATGGTGCCTGCCTGTGGGGGGAACTGAGCTTTTCTTTGTGCGTGAAACACGGGGCCGTGTAAATCACTCCGCTCGGCTGTGTGTTTATTGATTACAGCCACTTGTGCGCTGAATTCTGCGCCGAATAAAGGAGGGGATTTATTTTCCTCGCTGTCAGAGCGTCGGCGCGCAGGCAGAGCCACTCAGGAGAGTTTTACGGCTCAAGGTGCGACGGGGAGACGGGTGAGATTTCTTGTATACTCTGTGATAGCAACCCCGCTGGGCCATTGATTTCTTTGATGCTCTGTAATGAAGCAATGCTGAGACATAAATTATGTATTAACCAGCAGACAGGCGATGACCTCTGATTCATTCACAACCTGTTATGTTTATACAGTCATACAGCAGGCCTGCTATGCTTTCGCTTTCATACTGGCGTTACGCTGAGCGAGCCACTTCGGGTCACACATTTTCTGGCTGCCATTTGACACGGCCTCTTGTAGCAATCAACAGAAAAATCAGATATGACAATAAAGACATGCATAGAATCATCTTACAATAAATAACAATTTCCAAAATGTTCATACGAACAATTCATAGGCCTATGCTGTCTGTAGGATGCTTTTACCCATTTGTTTAACATTTATAAAAGATTTTTTAAGTAACCTAGCTATATGTATGTATTAGAGGTTAATGCTGAAATACTACGTTAAAATTCACAGTACAGTATGTCTATTACAGTGCTTTTCAAAATAGTCTTAGCTTATACAGTAACAATAATAATTCGCCGAACCATTTAACTTGAACTGACGCAATTTCCAAGTACAATACAACAAGAAAAAAAATATGAGTTGCAAAGTAAGAAGAAGGAGTGGAAAGTCATTTTATAAGCGGATCAAGTTATTGCATTTTGATAAAAATGATTATGAAGCCACCTCGTTTCAATTTGAACAGTGTTTCCTGCATACGTTTTAAGGCCAGATTTACTAACAGCAAACCGTCTTTTGGCGTTAAAATAGTAGCTACTGTCAGGATTTACTAAAGGCGGGCGCGTATTGAAGAATTAGCGCTGAAAAGGCATGGACAGTTATTTTTGCACCTGACCTTACTGAATATGCATTTGTAGGAGTTT